GCCTGCCCCAGGCCCGGAGCAGAGGGAGCCCAGCTGGTGAGGAAAGAGGAGGAGATGATCCAGAGAGTCATGGGAGCTGACTGGAGAGAATAACAGGGAAGCCTTGAGGGAAGAGACAGAACCAGTCTCAGTCTTTGCGAAGAGCCGGAGAATGGGGTTAAGCCGTGAGAGGGGTTGGGGGATCAGAGGTCCGATTACCAGCAATTAGAAAGTTAGGTTGCTCGAGTCAGTAATTGGTTCGTCACAGTGACCCGGCACAGGGAAGGTTTAATGTCCCTTAGCCTGTCCTGTAGGTGACTCAAGGAAGAGGCCCAGCACTGCGTCACCAGCCAGACCTGCACAGAGCTCAGGGTGAAATAGAGAGCACCAGGAGAAAACTTTTAGTTCTTCCTAGGAGTAAAGAGCTGAACCAAACTGCGGCGTATCTGTTTGGTCCTCACCCCGTAGATGATGGGGTTCAGCATGGGGGGCACCAGGAGATAGACGTTGGCCATGAGAATGTGGACATGGAGGGGCATATTGTGGCCAAAGTATTGTGAGAGAAAGGTGAAGAGAGCTGGGATATTAAAGGCTAAAATGGCAAGGAGGTGGGAGCTGCAAGTCCCAAAAGTCTTGAGCCGGGCGTCCTTGGTGGGGAGGCGGAAGATGGCCCTAAGGATCTGAGTGTAGGACACAGCGATAAGAAACAGATCCAGAAACATCACAGCTAATGCCACAAAGAGGCCGTAGTAGCTACTGATGCTGATGTTGGAACAGGCCAGACTCACCACAGACATGTGCTTGCAGTGTGTGGAGGGGATGATGTTGGTTCTGCAATATGGCCACTGCCTGGCCAGGATGGGATAGGGCAGAATGAGAATGACTCCCCGCAGCACTACGGCCAGGCCGATCTTGGCCATCATGGAGTTTGTCAGGATGGTGGAATGTCTCAAAGGATCACAAATGGCCACGTAACGATCCAACGCCATGGCCACACAATAGCCAGATTCCATCACTGTCAGAGAGTGAATGAAGAACATCTGGGTGAGGCAGCCACTGAAACTGATCTCCCTGGAATTAAACCAGAAGATGCTCAGCGTTTTGGGAATGGTGGATGTGCACAGGACGAGATCGGTGACAGTCAGCATGCAGAGGAAATAGTACATGGGGCCCTGGAGGCTCCGCTCCGTCTTCACAATGAAGAGGATGGCAAAGTTCCCCAAGAGAGCTACGACATATAAACTGCAGAAGGGGATGGAGATCCAGACATGGGAGGCCTCCAGGCCAGGAACTCCCAGGAGGATGAAGGTGGAGGGGTTGATGAAGTTGGTTCTGTTGGAATCTGACATGGAGCAGGCGAGAAAGTGTCGACCTCAGAATGATAATCGGAGACGCCACGTGCGCTACGCGAGGCTGTTTCGATGGTTGAAACTGATGATTATTCTTTACACATCTGGGAAAAATGACAATTTAATTATACAGAGAAATAAATGGTAAAGAACCAACCCTCCTCCTGTCAGTCCCAATCCGAGGGGGCTCTGTGGGTCAGTGTTCCCAACATCTTCCCCGTGAAAATGCTCAACAGGCACCAGCAGGAAAGAGGAGTGCGGATCCTGCCTGGCCTTGACTGTCCCATCATGCACTGAAAGCCAAACCGGCCCGTCAGCACTGTCGGAATTCCCCGTTCATCAAGCTGATCCACAGCTGAGAGCTGAACAAACCCAAATCTTTGCCAAGGGGGAACATTCCCATTATCATGGAATCCTTATCATTATCATTCCCAATATCAGGGAATGGAAGAGACACCGACACTGTTTGGCTGCCTAATCAATCGGCTGCAGAGTGACCTGATGCGGAGAGGCCGGCAGTTTGGTCACCCAAAGACGCTGCAGTGCAAAGGGGAGCTCCACAGTAGGGTCTGAGACCATGGGAGGCTACTGTGGGAAGAAGACTATGGCTACGTCTACATTGGCCCCTTCTCCGGAAGAGGCATGTTAATTTCCAACTTCAGAATAGGGAAATCCGTGAGGGATTTAAATATCCCCCACGGGATTTAAATAAACATGGCCACCGCTTTTTTTCCGGCTTGGGGAAAAGCCAGAAAAAAGCGTCTAGACTGGCACGATCCTCCGGAATAAAGCCCTTTTCCGGAGGATCTCTTATTCCTACTTCAAAGGCACGAGGAGGCACTTTGAAGTAGGAATAAGATCCTCCGGAAAAGGGCGCTTTTTCCGGAGGATCGGGGCCAGTGTAGACGCTCTTTTCTGGCTTTTCTAAAACCCGGAAAAAAGCGGCGGACATTTTTATTTAAAAATAAAGCCCTTTTCCGGAGGATCGCGCCAGTCTAGACGCTTTTTTCCGGCTTTTCCCCAAGCCGGGAAAAAAAGCGGCGGCCATGTTTATTTAAATCCCGAGGGGGATATTTAAATCCCTCACGGATTTCCCTATTCTGAAGTTGGAAATTAACATGCCTCTTCCGGAGAAGGGGCCAATGTAGACGTAGCCTATAAGTTTAGGGTTGTTTGGTTCGGAGAAGAGAGAAAGGTCACGCTTGAGAAGAACAAGTCAATGAGTAGATCTGAGGAGATTGCAAAGGAAAAACTTAAAAAACAACAAAAGGTCTGGTAGCCCTTCTCTGTATATTTGGCATGTGGAATTGGTCTGTAACAAAACAGCAACTTGGAGATCCATTAATGTGTGTCCAGGGAGGTTAAAGTGTTCCGTAATGGGTTTCTGTATGTTCCTTTTTCCAGATATCTGGTCTGTGTCCATTGATTCTTTCCCATAGGGACCGTCCAGGTTGTCCAATATATATTACAGTGGGGAATTGCTGGCATTTGCTGGCATAGATCACATACGTGCCTGTGCAGTTAAATGAGTCTCTGATTTGTTGGCTGGTGTGGTTTGCTCCGGTGATTAATTTGTTTGTACAGATATGTTCTTATGTTCTTATATGTGGACAGACTTGGCACCGGGGCTGATTGCAGGGCTGGGTTCCTGGATGTTTATGATGTTGCTGTGTAGTGTGGTTACCGGGAGGAATTTGTGTCACGTTGGGGGGAGAATAGGCCTTTCCCCCAGAGCCTTAGAGGAGGGCTCTGTAGCATGGGCCTCAGAGAGCCCAGAACGCTTCCATTAAAATAGTGGAAGAAATGGGTTCTCTCTTGCCACAGAGCACAGGAGAAGACACCCTGGTTCAAAGTGAAACCAGGCAGATTGTGATAAAACCTCAGAAACAAACCAAACCCATCCTGTCTGTACGAACGGGCGGACAACGGGACAGTCAGATGGGGAGGCTGGGGACACCCCTTCATCAGAGGTTTGCCAAAGGAGGTCTATGATACCTATCAGCCTGGGAGAGTTCAGTCAGAACGAATCCTGCATCCTGGCAGGGGTTCAGACTAGACAACCTTCCCGTCTCTGCTAACCCCCTGGCTCCATGATTCTACGTTGTAAAGTCCTGGAGTAGAGCAGGTCTTAGTTCAATACAGGTTGTGGAGCTCAGTAGAGGGGTAACCTGGTGAAATCAAATGGCCTGGATTAGACAGGAGGCTGGACAGTCTAATGGTCCGTCCGACCCGCAACTCTGCAAATTTCACATAAAGCCATGAGATCAGGCATGGGTATTCACTGCCTCTCTCTGCACACAGACAAGGGGCCGTTCCATTGTGGGATGGAAAGTCCGACATTAGAACACTGGTCAAGGAAAGGTGTTTAGCTAATCGATATTTCTCCTGTGGAACTCCTCGCCACTGACATCACTGGAGGGAAGTGCTTAGCTCAGCGGGATTCAGAAATGGATGGGCAGCTGTGGGTGGTGCCGGTGGGCCCTCGTGTCACTAACGCCATCTGACACCTGCCATTAGAGTTCCTCCTTTTCAAGTTCGATACATTTGCCAAATGTCCCTCCCTTGATTGGGAATTTCCCACCCTGAGTGTCTTCTTCCAGCTGAACTGATTGTTCAAAGTTTCAGGTACAACCGACCTTGGCTGACTTCTGGAATCAAGGTGGGAGAAAAGAGGTCTTGCCTGTGTAGAGCAATTCTTATAATTGTTCTAGAGGGGGCCCTAGCAAGCCCAGGGTTTCTATCCGATAAAAGCCAATTACCAGCCCTCTTGGTAATGGCCCAGGCCCTGAGAGGCAGGAGGAGAAGGTGCCAGTGTCTGTGCATAACCGACGGCTGGTTCCCGAGATCTTTCCTCAGTTCTTATTCCACGAGGAGTTTTCCCTCCTTGGGACCTGATCAAACGACAGGCCCTGGCCTCAGAACGTGGCCTTGTATCGCTCATCTATTCACCCCGTTCAGCCTCACGGATCTGCCGTGCCACTCACATGGCCCAGCCTGGCCACTGGAGGTCACTAGCTGGGATGGGGGCACGGGAGGGGCACAGAGAAGAAGGACGTTTTGGCTAGTTTACGGGAATGAACTCGTGCCCCTTGGCCAGGACCCCGAGATGTTCGGTGTCTCTGCAGAGCAGAGAGAATCACAGACTGACCCTCTCCTCCACCATCCCCACATTGCGCCCTGTCTGTGGGGCAGGGGAGCCCCTGAGCAAGAGATGGTACCTGTGAGTGCTGAGAGGGACGTGTCTTCCATAGGACTCCACTTCAGGCAGCCACATCCCGCACCTCTCTCAGCCCAGTGTCTGCAACAGCGTCCCGCTCTGCAAGTCAATATAAGCGTTTGCTCTGTTTATAACACAGCCCTGTGCAGCCCCAGCGGGGTTCACTCAGCCTCTAAGGGAGAAGACTCTTCTGGATGCCAAATGCCTGGAGACCAGAGATACTCGGGCCCAGGTCTCTGTTTCCATGTCTGCGCTCCTGTGCTCCTCCTCCAGCCGCAGGAGTAAACAGCCATTCAGGCCCTTCCCACAGGGAGAGGAGAACTCTTGGCCCCGGGCTGCTCCGTGCTTTTGTGCGCGTGTGAAAATTAGAGATGATTGGGAAGGAAATTAGCGATAATGCCTGGCTTTGCACAGAGTCTGATACTCTATCAATGAGTTAATAGGAATCTTCTGAAACTGTGGGTTTAGGTAAGAGCTGAAACATTCCGTCGATTGGCAGGTGCTGTGTGTGATCCTCTGGGACAAGTAGAAATTTGTACATCAAATCATAGAAGGTTAGTGTTGGAAGAGACCTCAGCCGTCATTGAGTCCAACCCTGGCTTAAAGCAGGACCAGCCCCGGCTAATCTAGGGGAAGGTTACGGAGTGATGGATCTCTTAAGGGGCACTAACAGCTGGCAGGCAAAAGTCTGGCCACGTCAGTGGCTGTGCTATGCTTAAACGAAGCACTCAAGATCTTTTATAGGGGCAAAGGCAGTACTCCGCATTTATTGAGAATACAACAGTTGCATGTGCTTTTCAATCACACACACACAACACATGATGCTTACACAGTCCTGCCAGACTATGTCATAATTACCAGTCCAGAGGCTGTGTCAATCTAGTGGCCAGCTGGATCGAACACAGGTGGGAGCAGGGCCTTTGTCAGTCGCGATCTGATGCTCTTCTGGGCTAGGTGGCAGATGAACCTAAAGTTCCATAGCAAAGCTCCCTGCTTTTATAATCCTTTTCTCTGTTAAAATCCACGGATCCCGCTCTGCCAGCTTGTGTCCGGAATGTTATCTTGTCGATGTCAGTCATTCCCAAACATTTCTTGAAGGCTCATCCTGTAATCAATCATCTTTTGGGGGTGCCTTCTCCGCTTCAAGGCTCGTTAATCTGCCACTCTGCCAATCGTCCCATCACTTCTTATTACAGGTACGCCGGGTCATCTGGTCTTCTGGCCTTCACCCACGCTCGCTCAGCCCCCTTCTTTGGCCACCTGGCAACTTTTGCACCTTTATCTCAACACAGTCATACTCCTCTCACACACATGAGCAATGTTACAAGGACTCTCGAGGTTACATAGATCTGCACTGGGCAAAGCAAAGAGGAGTTGTAAATCAAGCAATTAAGGCTTCAGCCTTCAACATTTTTCTAATCTTAAGAACAGAGACACAATACCCAGGACTGTCTTTCCACGTATGCCCATCTACTAAACTCACTTTTAGGGCAAAGGAATCGACATTTAATTGAAAGGTCTTAATTCAATGCAATATTAAATGTACATTGCTAAATTATTGCTTCATTATTATATTGCTAAACCTAAAGCACAAATATAAAAAAAATAAAGCTTTCAATGCTAACAGCTGGGGACTGAAGGCAGAGAAACCACAACTAGATACAGTGCAAACTGTTCACACTGAGGCGAATGACTATTGGAACGATTTTGCAGGGATCCTGGTGTGTCCCCCTCCCTGGGCACATTGCAGTGAAGATGGGACATTTTTCACACAGAGCTGCTT